ACAGGTAACTCCTCACTCACACACACACCTGTCCACAGGTAACTCCTCACACACACACACCTGTCCACAGGTAACTCCTCACTGACACACCTGTCTACAGGTAACTCCTCACACACACACCTGTCTACAGGTAACTCCTCACTCACACACACACCTGTCTACAGGTAACTCCTCACTCACACACACCTGTCTGCAGGTAACTCCTCACTCACACACCTGTCCACAGGTAACTCCTCACTCACACACACCTGTCTACAGGTAACTCCTCACACACACACCTGTCTACAGGTAACACCTCACTGACACACACCTGTCTACAGGTAACACCTCACTCACACACACCTGTCTACAGGTAACTCCTCACACACACACACCTGTCTACAGGTAACTCCTCACTCACACACACACCTGTCTACAGGCAACTCCTCACTGACACACACACCTGTCTACAGGTAACTCCTCATTGACACACACCTGCCTACAGGTAACACCTCACTCACACACACCTGTCCACAGGTAACTCCGTGCTCTCACACACACACAGTGCTGGCTATAGGTACCTCCTGACTAGTATACAGACTACTGGCTGTTCTCCCTGAGCTGACTCTCCCTTTTTTGCTGATTGTGTCTGCCTCGTGTCGGAGGGACATTCAGGAGTAAGTTTATATCGAAAGCACAGGTTCCAGCTAATATCCCTCTGCAATCCGAAGTCTCCAGGTGAAGCCAGTGGAGAAAGCCTGACCTTCGGCATAAATGCAAACATGGGCAGTTACAGGAAATTGCCAACCTCTTCATAGCTCAGTACAGATCTCCAGCACAGAAACATAAAGACTATCAATCCAGGAAGATAAACATAACAGAGTGAGCTCTCTCTCACTCAGTGTGGAACTTGGACAGAGCCAGTATATTGCTGCCTCTGGGTCACCATCTACCGGCCATTCAGGTCCCTGTAGCTGCAGGAATAAACCGCACATCGGCTGGGGTCTGGTGTTCAAGGTGTTGTCTGTGTCTGAGAAAACAATGGCTTCATCCTGCTGATTGATGAGGTGATTGAACAAGACAGTAACCACACCAGACAGCACCCTGTAGCACGGTGACAGAGAGTATGGGCTTAGTGGGCAGACTCTGTCTGATGTTCGAACACAATCACTGAATCTGCTGAAACTACACCAGAACCACAGGGTAAGGCCATCCACTGGCTCCATCTCCATGGTCCTGCTCCGAACATTCCTGAAGGATGGAAGCATCATGGTGGAAAACATCAAACATTTACAAACCTCTCCAAAGGTCATTGTGCAGTTACCAGGAGCTTGTGACGGTGGCCACACACTCTCCCTTTGTGCCAAGGCTGGGGCTCACTGCCAATGTGCTGTGTAATCGGATGGGTTTGCTATGTCACTACAGAGGGGCTGTTCAGAATCAACCTCACTGCTGTGGGTCTGGGGTCACCTATAGGCCCAGATTGGGTAAGGATTTCATTCCCTAAAGGACATTAGTGAACCAGATAGGTTTTTTATGGCAATCTAACAGCTCATCTGCTAGTTTTTGTTTCAGAGTTTTCATTTTGAAAACTGGCACAATTCCTCAAGCCTACGCTGTCTTGTTCCAAGGTGTGTAGAATTGGAAGGTGCTGAGGGACCGGCACAAATCCTACAATCAGCTTTAGTTCCCCCAGTTTGTTACCATCAGCCCCACTCCCCCTCAGTGACCCTGAAGCTGGGGTGAAGTGAAAACCTCAGGTCCAGCAGACCCTCCTCCAGGAGGACAGTACCTTAGCAATCAGTCCCCCAGTTACCTCCAAAGGAGCAGATGGTGGCTGGACAGGAACAGCGAAGGAAGGAGAATACAGGCATGTAGTGCCCATTTAGTGAGTTGGCTAGATAAAGTACTGGATAAAGTCACGAGGTGTGGAAAAATAGTTCGCAATAACTGGTTAATAAGACAATCATTATCCATGCACGTTACACAGGTGGCGGGGGGAGCAGGATGGGAATATGCAGGATTGTCGCTGTGTTATTGAGAGTCAAACTTTCTCTCACTCTAGATTGATTGAAGCAATGCAGTTCACTATTTCAAACAATGATCCAACCAGGAAATAAAAAACACCCTTCTCAAGATTCCTGCATTTGCATTTGCATTGGGCTCCAGAGTCTATTTGGGATAAAGCCACATGGAACCTTAGTGGCCACACATTAATAATAATTACTCAACGATTCATCATAGAAATAGCCCAAAATTAACAAAATCCTGAGAAAGGAAGGGAAAAGTTGGGTTAGGGTCAGGGTCAGGGTCAGGGTCAGGGTGAGGGTTAGGGTCAGAGTTAGGGTCAGGGTTAGGGTCAATGTCAGGGTCAGGGTCAATGTCAGGGTCAGGGTCAGGGTTTTGGTTAGGGTCAGGGTTAGTGTCAGGGTTCGAGTCAGGGTTAGAGTCAGGGTCATGGTTAGGGTCAGGGTCAGAGTCAGGGTCATGGTTAGGGTCAGGGTTAGAGTCAGGGTCATGGTTAGGGTCAGTGTCAGGGTCAGGGTCAGGGTCGTGGTTAGGGTCCTGGTTAGTCAGGGTCAGAGTCAGGGTCATGGTTAGGGTCAGGGTTAGAATCAGGGTCAGTGTCAGGGTCAAGGTCGTGGTTAGGGTCAGGGTCATAGTTAGGGTCAGGGTCAGGGTCATGGTTAGGGTCAGGGTTAGAGCCAGGGTTATGGTTAGGGTTAGGGTCAGGGTCAGTGTCGTGGTTAGGGTCAGTGTCGTGGTTAGGGTCAGGGTCCAGGTCAGGATCAGGGCATGAAAGGCAGATGAAGGTGAAACTCTCCTGACGTTTGTATAGCTGCTGAGATGAGGATCAGGCTGTGTCGGAGTGAGGAGGTTGGGTCGGAGTGAGAAGGTTGGGTCGGAGTGAGGAGGTTGGGTTGAGGAGACAGGTTGAGTTTGGTGAGGAGGAGGATAGGCCAGCGGGAGGTGGAGGGTGGGGTGTCAGATGAAGAAGAGGTTGGGTTGGATGAGGAGGGTGGGTTGGAAGAGGAGGAAGGTAGGCCTGGACAATGTGGAGGGTTGGGTTGGATGAGGAAGTGAGTGCGGAGAGCACTGATTCCTCCATCACCTTGGGTCATCTTACCTGCAGGTGACGATCAAGTTCCTGGAAGCTCAGGGTTTTGCATAAACACTAGATCTTAGCTTTAAACAGGCTAATAAAATACAGCAGATAGGTAGGTCGACAAAGTAGAACATTAGATGCTGAACAATATAGAGAGCCTAAAGAACCTTATTATAAATCATGGCCACCCCATCAATCTCTGGATCTGGTCGAAGACACCCAGGAAAATGCAGGGACAAGCTGGGCATCACAAGTTGGTTTCGGTCCTGTAGAACTGCAGTGTTATCTCCTGTTCCATAACTGCTAACCTCAAGGTGCAGAATCAAACAGGATAAGCACCACCTCAAGAACTGAGTCACAAAGACAATGAGAACCTTCAGTTTGGGCTAGACAGGTTCTTCCTCAGAGTGAGGTGAAGATGAAGATGACCATGAGTGTGTACCAGTAAATGACACAGACAGGGACTGCCAAGTATTTAGTCACTAGTGATCTTCCAGGAGACTGGAACAGGACCACAGATTGGATGCACACTTCAGATGAAGTGGAGTGAGGGAGGTTCTATTGCCTGGATGGGGCTTGTATTGAGTGGGTGGGTTGGGGGGCAGGTTCTGTCTATTTGGTTGTGTAAGAGCTGACCAAATGTCACGGATGGAAATATTCACAATGTGTTTCTGAGCTATTCCCAAATACAGCCATCGCCATCCATATCTACTGATTGTGGGAGTTAGCGAGAATGCGGACCATTTCCAACGTCACATCCTGATTGTGCTGCACAGCAACTTGGTGATTCACACCCAGACTCACTCACTCCCCACGAAGGAATGATCCAAAATTCATGGATTTCTTACAAGTGATCACTTTTATATTCTTCTCAATAAAACAGCTGAATTTTGACGCAGTGAGTCCTTGCGATCTGGGGTTTGCTGCCAGGAAAGGGCAGAGGAAGCTGATTCAACAGGACCACCACCCCAAAAAGGGGAGCTGGAGAAATAGTGGAATGGAAAAGAATCACAGGTACATGAGGAAGAGCTGCAGGCAATGGGAACCATTGGAGAGCTTTCTTAATGAGCATGGACAGCAATGTTGAACCAAATGGCCTCCTCTTATCCTGTCAGATTCTACAGCTAATTTACAACCATATTTGATCAGAGAGGTGCCATCCATTTGGTGTATTGGGCACTGTGCCAACAGCAGGCAAGTGTGTAATGGGTGAACATAAATCTCGAGGATGTGCAGCTCACCCTGTCTCAGGCTGGGTTCGGGTAACTCACACAGGATCACTGATGTGCTGTTCTGGATCCCAGTGCTACTGGTGTCAGATAGGGCTCAAATTCATGGCAGGGAAGAGGAACAGAGTGCACCTTCCTCTCTGTGGTCGCCGTTGATGGTTAATGTCAGGTTAATCCCAGTATTTTTCCAAAGGATTCCTGTGGTTATGGGGAAGTGAGGATTCCCTGTGAAAAACACCAATGGTAGTGATTGGCAGCTACAGCAAGCAGGTACGTGACCCCCCGCCCCCCTCAAACAGGCCTATGCCCATGAGCGCTTTCCATCTTCTGGCCCCTCCTCAGGACATTGACAGGGGTCTGGTTCCCAGGATCCCATCACCCTCCACCATATTTTAGCCCAAAGTGGTTAGTAACACTCTGTGTAAGCTAACAGTTCCCCTGCAATGCAGTGACAGCCTGCAAGAAACTACTGACCCATCAGTTTTGGGGTGGGGGGGGGCATCTGCTGAGGCACTGACGAGTGGTTAAGGAAAGATGAATGACCCTAATGGCTTTGCACTCTGCCAATCTTTAGTTTGCTCTGCTGGACGACATCATCTTCAGCTTTTCAGTCTGGACTGGATTCCATTTGGCTTTCAGTGCTGGCTCCCACAATGGAACAGCCATCTGTTCCCACCCTGGTCAGAGCCAGCACCACCTCCCCCGCCACAACACTCCCCTCTCCCCACCCACCCGCTCCTGAACCCCAATTCCTCAGGTCAGGTATCTGTAGCTGTCAACCACTCACACACAGCGCACCCAAGGTCCATGAGCAGGGGTCCATGAGCCTCACCACTAGAGGTAGAAGATGGATGCCCGGGTTTGCTGGGGGCACAGCTGGGGTGCTGGGGTGGGGGGAGGTGGTGGGGATGACTGTGTGGGCACGAGCCAGAGGTCACTCTGTGAGTTGCACACGTCACAGATACAAGAACAAAGCTGCTGAAACAGGGGGAACGGGTCCTGTCCTTCAACAGCATCCCCTTCCATTTGCGAAAACACCCAAAATGGATTTTTTTTTTTGGAGAAAAAAGTAATGAACAAAGTGTATCTCCTGTGTTGCTAGGTTACCTGTAGCAGTTGTTGTGAAAACGATTGTAGCTGCCTAGTGCTGTAAGTGCTCCTAATCCAATCGCATATGAGAAAAAGATCTGGGTTCCTGCATCAATCCAAACCTTCAAAAGAAATCAAGTAAAATAAAACATTCTATAAACCAACAGCAGAATGTGTGGAAGCAACATGGGGCGGCCAATCCATGGGTTTGAAGGGTTCAGATTAAAGAAACCTAAAAAAATCCAACATCATCAACAGCGAATTATATTTCCGACAAACTGCATTACATTACAGGAGGGAGAGGCAATGCTCCTATTCATTTCACAGCAGCTTTCCAATAACTTCACCAATGGGGAACTGGCCAATAGTAAAATATACAAGAGGAAAGTTTTCAGCCCAGTGCAATATGATTAGGGAAACACTGCAGGTTTCAGAAGGAGGACAAGTGGAAGAAACAGAAAAAATAAACACACAATCGTGAGGGGAGGCGAAAAGCATAACTGTTACCTGAGCTTCACCAAGCTTGGACCAATCAGGTTTCAGATAATAAATGATGCCATCCAAAGCTCCCGGAAGTGAGACGCCATGAGCAAGGAGGATGATCAGAACGAGGTAGGGGAACAAGGCCGTAAAATAGACAACCTGCAGACAGAGAGAGACAGAGACAGGTCAATGGGACAACACCATCTCTCTCAAGGCTCATCAGAAAAACAACAATGTTTACAAACCCAATACACCATTCTCATGGCTCACAGGCCCATCTCTCCCTCTCGACGTCCCTCCTTTACAAATATTTCTCGGGCTCTTCCTGAACAAATGGTTTTCTTGTCAGAAACATCTGACTGGATCACGCAAATTTCTGAGTGGAAGGATTGGATGAGCCAGCACCAATCAACAGAATGAAACAGTGGAACTCCCTCCCCCATGGCATTGTAGGTCTACATACAGCAGGAGGGCTGCAGCGGTTCAAGACACCAGCTCACCCCCACCTTCTCAAGCCCTGCTATATGATGGATAGAAAAGGTTCAAAAAAGACTTACAAGGATGTTACTGGGAATGGAGGGTCTGAGCTGTAGGGTGAGGCTAGATAGGCTGGGGCTGTTTTCCCTGGAGCATCCGAAGCTGAAAGGTGACCTTTTGGAGATTTATAAAATCATAAGGGGCATGGATAGGAGGAATAGTCAAGGTCTTTTCCCCAGGGGTGGGAAGTTCAAAATGAGAGAGTATAGTTGTAAAGTGAGGGGCAAAGGTTTAAAAGGGAGCTGAGGGGTAACTTTTTCACACAGAGGGTGGTGTGTGTATGGAACGAGCTGCCAGAGGAAGTGGTGGAGGCTGGTACAATTACAACATTTAAAAGGCATTTGGAAGGTGCAGGGATAGGAAAGGTTTAGAGGGATATGGGCCAAACACAGACAAATGGGACTAATTTAGTTTGGGAAACCTGGTCAACTTGTTTCCATACTGTATAACTCTGTGACTCCATAACTAGAGACAGGTAATAAATGCTGTCGAGCCAGCAATGCCCACATCCTATGAATGATTTTGTTAAGAAGTCATAATAGCATATTTTGAACCATTGACAGTAGACAGCAGGAACAATTTCACTGAAAGAAAATATTGATCTCAATTCATTCATTCTCCAGCTGTTGCAGATCTGGAACAGTACAGGAACAGACTGGGTGGGATATTAGAGGGAGCAGGGAGCGAGGGGGAGAGTGGGGTTAGACTGGGTGGGGTATTAAAGGGAGCGGAGAGTGAGGGGGAGAGTGGGATGAGACTGGTTGGGGTATTAAAAGGTGCGGGAGTGAGGGGGAGAGTGGGCTTAGACTGGGTGGGATATTAAAGGGAGCAGGGAGTGAGGGAGAGGATGGGATTAGACTGAGGGGGGATATTAAAGCGAGTGGAGAGTGAGGGGGAGGGTGGGATTAGACTGGGTGGGATATTAAGGGTGTGGGAGTGAGGGGCAGAGTGGGATTAGACTGGGTGGGGATATTAGAGGGAGCGGGGAGTGATGGGGAGAGTGAGATTAGATTGGGTGGGACATTAAAGGGTGTGGGAGGAAGGGGGAGAGTTGGGTATTAAAGGAAGGGGAGAGTGAGAGGGAGAGTGGGATTAGACTGGGTGGGATATTAAAGGGTATGGGAGTGAGGGGGAGAGTGGGATTAGACTGGGTGGGATATTAAAGGGTGTGGGAGTGAGGGGGAGAGTGGGATTAGACTGGGTGGGATATTAAAGGGTGTGTGAGTGGGGTGAGAGTGGGATTAAACTGGGTGGGATATTAAAGGGAGCGGGGAGCGAGGGGGAGAGTGGGATTAGACTGGGTGGGACATTAAAGTAAGCAGGGAGCGAAGGGAGAGTGGGTTTAGACTGGGTGGAATATTAAAACGAGTGCGGAGCGACGGGGAGAGTGGGATTAGACTGGGTTGGACATTAAAGGAAGCGGGGAGTGAGGGGGAGAGTGGGATTAGACTGGGTATGATTTTAAAGGGAGCGGGGAGTGAGGGGGAGGGTGGGATTAGACTGGGTTGGATATTAAAAAGTGCGGGGAGTGAGTGGGAGAGTGGCATTAGACTGGGTGGGATATAAAAGGATGCAGTGAGAGAGGGGAGACAGTGGGATTAGACTGGGTGCGATATTACAGGCAGCGGGGAGTGATGGGGAGATTCGGATTAGACTGGGTGGGCTATTAAAGGGCGCGGGGAGTGAGGGGGAGGGTGGGATTAGACTGGGTTGGATATTAAAAGGTGCGGGGAGTGAGGGGTAGAGTGGGATAAGACTGGGTCGGATATTAAAGGGAGCGGGGAGCGAGCGGGAGAGTGGGATTAGACTGGGTTGAAATTAAAAGGTGCGGGGAGGGAGGGGGAGAATGGGGTTAGACTGGTTGGGGATATTAGAGGGAGCGGGGAGTGACAGGGAGAGTGGTATTAGACTGGGTGGGATATTAAAGGGTGTGGGATTGAGGGGGAGAGTGGGATGAGACTGGGTGGTATATTAAAGAGTGTGGGAGTGAGGGGGAGAGTTGGATTAGACTGGGTGGGATATTAAAGGGTGTGGGAGTGATGGGGAGAGTGGGATTAGACTGGGTGGTATATTAAATGAAGTGGGGAGCAAGGGGGAGAATGGGATTAAACTGGGTGGTATATTAAAGGGAGCGGGAGGTGAGGGGGAGAGTTGGATTAGACTGGGTTGGACATTAAAGGAAGCGGGGAGTGAGGGGGAGAGTGGGATTAGACTGGGTTGGACATTAAAGGAAGCGGGGAG